TAAAAAGCCCAAAACCCCAAAACCCCAAAACCCCAAATCCCCTTAAATCTGTATTTTTGTATATATAAATATTAGTTAAAGCCAAAATTAAATCTATAATCTAACAAGATAAAGCTCGACTCAATTAAGAGTCATGATTTTCATCAAGTCATTAAATTATGAAAACTTATAAGTACTTAATCCAAATATTGAATGTGCTGGCACATCTAATGATTCATTATCAAATAATACAGTTAAAGTATGGTGTTCTCTCATCATTATCATACAACTAATTAAATATCTCATCCTCTCTTACTGCTGAAAACAATCCATCCTCATCTCTCTCAGTTGAGTAAATCTAATAATCCTTCATCTTTCCTTGTCTGTCAAATAAGCATGGTCTAGCAACTCTATCCTCAATACTTGAGTTTACGATGAAAATTCTAAGAGCATCTGGATTTAGACTGCCACAAATTTCTTAAATTATTTTTGATTCATTGATCAACTCTCTTCTTTAGTCAGAAATTGTTTCTTCATCTGTTTCATAGTCTTATTCTTCGTTAGTCTCACTCAGACAATCCTGGACTAGGGAATCATCAAGACCGAATTCTGAATCTTGATATATTGGAAATATTTATTAAGCTGCCTATTTAGATTCCTTTTTATCACTACTTGAGACATTATTCTTGAAAAGTGTGATTGAACCAAATGACGAATCACCTACTTAAGACTGGTAATCTTCTTTCAATTTCAAGTGAATTTAGTTTCTATTGATGACAACTTTGTCATTAGGAGATTAATTGAAATTAGCCCTCCTCTTCATGTTTATTCTTTAGGGATTATTTGAATTTTGCATCTTTTATACTTTCTAAATAATCTAATCCTGTTTAAACTTAGATTTTTTTAGGATCTTAGTCTCATTGTATTGAGGTTTGTCGTTAAGTATTTTTACACATCTCTCTAACCTCTGTTAATCAGATGTTACTTGGCTTTTCTAGCTAGAATTCAAGGGCTCATCAAATTATTGCAGATTGAATAGCTCATCTAGCCTTCTCATACCTTAATCCTTACCGATCACCGATTAAATGTCATCATCTGAGTCGACATGATGTTAATAGTTTAGGAAACTATCAACTTCCTGATTTACTCCAAGATTGCTATCCAGATTAATGGTGAACTTGGTTTGTTTCTTATGCTTCTTTGAGTTTCTGCAATATTTATTATCATTTGCAAAAACATCAACAATAGTAGCTATGGTCCTCTAAGTTCTTTCTTCTTCGTATTTGAGTTTATTGAACTACTCTTCAAAAGAGGCTCTGTTTATTGGAATGTTTTCAAAGATCTTACTTTGAATATTCAAATTGTGAGAATTAGAATCGATAGGCATGAACGAAAAGCTTTCCCTTAAATTGTCATGATCGCTAGAATGCCTAAAATGACTAACATCATGATTGATGTGACTCAACTCTATATCTGAAAGATTAGTCAAACTCTCTCCAAAATTTGATTGGAAACCTTGAATTCCAAGCAATTACTAGCTATTTGGAACTTTTAGCTTTTCAAAAGTTTATCTCTTTGCTTGATCCAAGAAAAATTGGATATGATTTGAAGATTTACTTTCATTTCTTTCAGATAAGGGAGGACTCTCAATCTCTTGAGGAAAATTACTGTTGTTTTGAGACTATTATAAGGCTAAGCAAGATAATAAACATACATTTTGCATTTAATCAAAGAAGCTAGACTTAAGCACTGATCCTTTTGAATTGTTGCCATTTGTTGAATTTCTACTCTTTATTGAGTCTTTTCTTTGTTCAGCAAAGAGTGCAGTAACCTGTTGACTGGTGTTAGCAGGGCGTTGTATCTTTCTGAAATCTAAGATACTTAAAGGGCCTGTAATCTTTGCCTTTAGCTGATCCTAAGATGAATTTATCATGACTGATTAGTTAAGGCTGCTGTAAATTGAGTTTGCATCAGACCTACCCCTTAGAATGTTTGGATTAATGTTTTCAACATCTAAGATTGAATAAAGTTAATTGAAGTATACTTTAATCTGAGTTGAGGTTCGCCTAAGAAATATGATTAGAATTGAATGACTGCTGGTATGAATGTAGCTGAGGTCTTAACATTTTAGAATACTAAATCAAATTTAATTTTAATATGTTCGTTTAATACCTATTTAAACTTAACTAACTGATCTACTATACGGGGTTTTGGGGTTTTGGGGTTTTGGGG